GAGGAGGCTCTTCCCGAAGATGAGGCTGCTCTTCACGGACACCGACTCCGTGATGGTGCAAGGGAACTCCATCAAGATGCTCTGTGCGAAGATCTCGGACATCTTGAGCTTCCTGCAAATGGGAGTGAGGACCCGCGCCGGTCCTCCTCCCCACCAAAACCAATCCGAGCAAAATGATGCAGGCCGTCGTGCCTGCGCCCTCGGAGGCCCCTGGCTACTTCACTAACGAGACAGGACTTCGTCAGAAGATCGTGCGCGGAAATCCGCGATGCACTCCGTGGGACGGCTGTGCAGCCCGGAAAAACCGGCGCTGTCCCCGATCCAGAACTGGAATCCTCGTCCGCTAGCGGTCAGGGAAACGTGATGACCATTCGTCAGCTCACGAAGTTCTTGCATCACTACTTCGGTACCCGCCTGGCATCCGAGGAAGCATGTGCTCTGCATGTCCCGTCTTCTTACCTTGAGGACGGGGCGGGCATGTTTGAGCTTTTCCTCACTGTCATCCGCGACGAGAACCACCGCCTGATCCCTGGTTCGGCACGCATCGCGGACATCAGGTCGCTTGAAATCGGTGTTCACACCGATTATCTTCCGCTCTACGAGAGCCTGGTTTGCTTGCCTATCGCGTCGCCTTTGGTTGAGCAAGGGGCCATCATCAGGGTGGCAAGAGCGATGGTTGAACTCCTACCCTCCTGGCCAGATGAGTACGTCCCCATTCGAGACCATGGTGAGTGCCCCACCAACTCTGTCGACCGCATCACCTATCGGAATGTGACCGAGATTCACATCGGGTCGACGCCTGAGAGGCGATCCCCGCGATTGATGCCCGTCACTTCGCAATGGAGAATGGCGGGATTCGAGTTACGCGCCAGGGTACCTTTGAATCTCGCGAGAATATCGCGATCGGGTATTGGCGTTGCGCGTACATCAAGGAGGACTGCTCCATCGTCTATCTTCGACCATCGATCTACCAACCCAACTTCCTTGACACCATTCCCGATGATCCGAGGATCATGAGGTGAAGAGTCTTGGGACGAATCCCCTTCTATGGAGCGACGAAGACACCATGTCTAGCATGCGCCCTCCCAAGTACATCGATCAAGATGGCATTGAGGACGTGTTCGGGAAGCTGTACCTTGCCCTCGGAGAGGAGGTGCTTCACTCCAAGTACCAGGGCACGGTTGATCACTCTATAGAGGAGCGGGTCGCCAAGGCAGTCCTGGTTCGTGGGCTTCCTTTCAATGGACGCACTGTCTCTGATTTCTTTGAGGAGCACGAAGCGTATGCGTAGACGCCTCACCGCCGCAAACTTCAACCCCAACAGGAGCGGCTTCTACACGATACTGCATGACTGAGGCCCAGCTCATTGGGTTGAGGTCTGGGCACCTTGTGCCGATCCCCCCAAACGATGTGAAGGGGGATGTCTTCAAGGCCCAGGTGGAGCGCCTTGCTCAGCATATTGGGGTGTGCAAGCCATGCGGAGAAAAGCTGGCTTTGACCCTGAGGCTCGGCTCACAGAGGTGATGGACACCGTGAAAGAGGGCATTTAGAAGGGCTACGCATCTCAGCTCAATGACCTCAAGAGTCTTGATAATCTTCAAAAGTCTTGATGATCTGATCTACAAGACCTCTGCGTACGACACTTGCCTAGCAAGAGCTTGCCCGGCGCACCGGATTCGGCAACGGCAACGTTACAGACAGGCGGTACGCTTGACCCCTACCCCTGGCGTAAAGGACGAGGAGATGCCCGACTACGCCCCATCCAGTGAGGATGAGAAAGAGTCGGATGAATCCTCAGTTGATGATGAGGAGCCTGAGGCCGAGGACAAGGGCGGGGAGGATACAATTCCTCCCCCTCCACCGGGATACAGAATCCGAAGAGGAAGCCAATGATGATCAGCGCAAGGCAAGCAGAACCTCCCGCGGCCGCCTTCCTGCGCCCTCTGGACGCGCGTGTCCCGACCTGCTTCGTCCCCTGACCCCGCTTGAAGCGCTGAGGCAAGGGCAAGTAGCAAGGACAGGCCCAAGGGCTTCTTCTCGCAGAAGGACCCCTTCACTGGCGAGGAGGCAAAGCCGAGGGCCACTTAATCATTTGCGCTCCACACCTCCTCGAACCGCATCCGGTACTTTGAGGAGCCCTCACCTCTCTGACCGGTCGCGGCCTAAACGGGCCGAGGATTGATCCCGGACGGCCTTTGGTGCACAAGCCCGCAGAAAGCGCAGGCCGGCAAGGACGCCCGCGATGACGCTGGCCCTCCCCGACAAAGGGATCATCGGGCCGGTGGCGGACGTGGCGGTGGCCGTGATGGGATGAGCGCCGTGGACGCCGACAGCAGTCGGCCCCCCTCCTTCCCGCCGTACTGGCGGTGGCGATGTGCCCAGGGACCGGCGAGAAGCCGGGAGCGGGTGGTGGCAACCTCATCATCCGCCTTGGAAGGGCCTGGGTGTTGATGGCCGATGGCCTTGCCTCATCAGCAGCATCGCTGGGTGGTCTACCTGTACAAGCACCGCTGCTGTGGGTGATGTTCTCCATTGCCCTGCGCCACTGATCCGGTGTTGACCATGCTCCTCCGCACTAGAAGTGCTGGGCCGGTCGTAGCCCGGTTTCACGCCATTAACTTTGGTTAATCAATTTCTTTTTGCTTTCTCAACTCATACTTCCCTCCAACCGATACATGGCGCACTCCGAGGTGCGGTGATCCAGACAGGATTCCCCCTCTGAACCACAATGCCTGAACGGCGCGAGCGGAATCGTCGTCTGGTCCTCCCTTCATGTCTCTGTGCGCTCACAGATATCCTGTCGCCCCGCTAATTCGGGGTGGTGGCGGGATTTTAATTGGGGCCCAGGTGATGTCGTTTGGCTCACTTCTGAGTTTGCGCTTTCGTCGTGAACTCAGCTGTCACGCATCCTTACTCTTGTCCAGATGTCGGATGAGGGGTGTGTGTTTAGTTCACGTATTGTTTTATCACCAACCATGCGTGCCGAATGGCCACTTGGCTCAAGTCTTACACCTCCCGTGCAGGGACAACCCGGAATTCCGTGCAGGCGCCATTCGCCGTGCAGCAGCCTTGATCCTCGAGGAAAAGTTCCTTGGGGCCGCGGGCTGCTGGGCATAGGTGGTACCTGGGTCTTCGTGCGGGTTTACCTGGGCTTGGTTTGGGACCCTCTTTTTGCAACTTGCTATTCAACCTTCACACACACACACACTTGTTGTGGGACTGGGTTCTTTGACCTCTTCGTGTAGTTCTGGTCATTTGTTTCCCTGAGCTACTTCGTGTTCGCCCAAAACCGTAGATTTGATTGGTTGGTTGGTTGGTTGATTGATTTGATTGATTTGATTGTTTCGATTTATTTGATTGATTGATTGATTGATTGGTTGGTTGGTTGGTTGATTGGGTTGGATTGGATTGGATTGCATTTGATTTGGTTTGATTTGATTCATTGATTCATTGATTGATTGATCGATTGGTTGATTGGTTGGCTGGTAGCGCATTGTATCTTTCATGTTTGGTTCGTGTGCAGTATATGTGTATGTATATTTTATATAGTTGCGTCGTTGAGAATTGAAAAGCGCAATGCCTGATAGAGCAACAGGTTCAACTGCTTGCTTTGCTAACCATTAGTGACTCTGTGTGCAGATACGGCAAGTGAAGCCGGCGACGGACATGTCAGCGCCATCTACGCTGAGCCTTGGTTGCGGGCAGTGCCTGCAAGTTGGGTGCATTAAACTCCTTTTTTATGTTGTCCCTGGTCCAACAAGATCTGATCCAAATGGAGCGAGAGCTGCTGGCATGCCGCTCCCAGCTGCGAGGAAGATGGATCATTTCCGGACAAATCTGAAGAAGGCAGCTGTGGGAGTTGCAAGGGTAGCGCATTTCAAGCGCACGAGAAGTCTTGGCGCGCCGTATGGAGCTGAGGGGAACAGCTTCCCATTTAGTGTCATAGGCAATTTGCATTGAGGAAGAGGACATCATCCTTTGAACGGCAGAGATGCCCTAAGGGACTTGGAGTGAAAGCTGATCTCACCAGTCGAAGTGGCAACCTCTGGCAGGAAAGACTGCTAGAAGATCGATACGTGGAGATTGATAGGCGCGCTGCCTCGCGTCTTGCCGTAAGGCTTGCACGAACCCATTGTTTGATTTCACACGGCTGGCCAAAACATGCCAAAACATTTGCGTCAAAGTATCGAGCACGAGCCGGTCTGGCCTAGAACTGCAGGGAGAATAAAGTTCTCCTCAAGCGGATGCCGGCTCACTGAGTCTTTTTGCCTGGGCGGGCTGGGGGAGAGACAGGTCGGTGAGTGCCGAGGTCAGAGGCTATGAGGAAGCCGAGAGCCTAATGGATTTGTCGGAGTGTGGTGCCTGTATGTGGCCGAAGGCTTGCAGGCTCGTAGGTTTGCTGGAAGGCCAAACCCCTACACGGTAGAGAAGAACCAGTCGGCACCATCACTGTTGTTGGCCCAGTGCTGCTCAGGGGAACCTTGCTGACAGAAGTCGCAATGCTAAGGAACAGATCTGGCCGCAAAATGGAGATGATCAGGATGCGGCCTTCTCGATGCTTGCAGCAGAGCATCATTAATGACGAATTGTGTAGCCTGCGTGCCTTGTCATGGTCACAACAACGTCGACCCGCAAGATGGGGAAGCAAGCACGCTCTGCTTTGCGTGATAAGAATGCTTGTCAGCGCAGGATCACCAAAGACAATGCCAGACTGTTGCGGTCCATTCAGAAGGCGCGGGCAACAATCTGAAGCCGTTTGCATTGCAGGTGTGTAGCAGGTATGCAATCCTCGCGGCAGCCGTCGCATGATGCCCAAGTCCGCGATGTCCTGGTAGGATATGCATCCGTAGCTGGCCTTGGAAGCGCATCTCTGATTTGGAAGGGTGAGAAGTTAATGGCATGCAGGCGACGTCGCAACCAACTACCAACTCTGAGCGGTTCTATTGCCTCAACGGTTCATTGCAACAGACGGCTTTGCACGGCCTGGCCCTTGTGGGCTCATGTCCAGCCGCAGCTGGCATGGCCAGTCTGGGCCTCAGAGAGATTGCTGTCCTTCTTGAGCATGGGCAGCATGGGCCGAATGCGTTCAGGCACGCCCAGCTGCTGGAGTCAGATGACGAGCGGAGCTCCTGGGGCAGTATGCCTGGGTGCCTTGGCATATGAGTCGATGGTCGAGCTCCTTGCGGTCCTTGGTCCTTGCGCCTGAGGAGAGTCGTTTGCCCCGCGGCGGCGGTGCTCATGCTCCTGGGCACGGCGCTGGTCGTGGCACCGCAGCGGATGAAGTGCCTCGATGGCAAGGGGCGGTTGCATGGCACATGGCGTCATAAGCGTAGCGAGCATGTGGCCATGCCCTACTGAGCCGCTGCCTGGCAAGTCTTGCCAAGTCTCATGCATTTAGCCCAGGACCATCCGCGGATCCGTGTGCGGCTCAGGGTCAGTTTCGAGTCACAGTTGGAAGAGCCTCAACCTGCTGTTCCGTCATGCATGCGCCCAGATGTGTGTCGCTTGTTGCTCAGGCGGTTGGTTACTCTGCCGACTACGCTGACCAGGCTCCTCAGATCATGCTGCTACAATTCAATCCTCACTGGGAGTGCTTTAAGGGTCCAAATATGGAGCAGACTCTTGGCAGACAATTAAGCCAAGGGACTGGCACAGGGGGAACATCAAGCAACTGATTTGAGTTACGGCTTGCTGCCTGACACCCGCGTAGCAGCCTTTTAGGTGTGGAAACGCCGTCTATGGCATGGTGACCAGACTTCTGAACCAGTATCAAGTGGACTTTGCCAACATTGTGGAGCTACCTCCGACCTACAAGTGCCTCTTATTCTCTGGCATGATTGGCGTGCGTCCACTTCATATTTCAGCTTGCTCCGCACGATTGTGCCGCATGCCCGTGCGGCTTTTGAGTTTGCACATATTTCGTTTGACAGGTGTTGGACGCATTGCGCTTCTGAGGCCCCCAGAGGGCTGGGCAATGAACTGTCGCCCTGGGGGGGGAGGCGAGACTAGCTGCGCTCTGGCTGGCACCTGTCACTCAATGACAGCTGTTTGACAAAACGGAAATGCAACCTTGTGTGAGTAGGTTGGTTGTTGGTTGGTTGATTTGCCGGCTGCTGGCTGCTGGCTCGTTGCTTTCTTGCTTTGTTGCTTTGTTGCTTTGTTGCCTAGTTACTTTATTTCTTGCGGGTTGTGTCGTTGGCGTTGCTTGGTTGGTTAGTTGTTTGGTTGGTTGGTTGTTTGGTTGGTTTGTTGGTTGCTTGGTTGTCTCGTTGTTTGGTTGCTTTGCTTGCTTGCTTCTTAATTGTTTATCTTTTTGTTGCTCTCTTGCTTGGTTGCTTGATTGCTTTGTTGTTTGGTTGCTTGGTTGCTTGCTTGGTTGGTTGGGTGGTTGGCGCTGGTTGGTTGGTGGGTTGGTTGGTCGCTTGGTCGCTTGGTCGCTTGGTTGGTTGGTTGGTTGGTTGGTTGGTTGGTTGGCTGGTTGGTTGGTTGGTTGGTTGGTTGGTTGGTTGGTTGGTTGGGTGGTTGGGTGGTTGTTGCTTGCTTGCTTGCTTGTTTGCGTGCTTGGTTGCTTGGTTGCCTTGTTGCCTGGTTGCCGGTTGATGGTTTGGCTCCTGGGTACCTTAGTTGTTTGCTTGATTTCTTGCTTTCTTGCTTTCTTGCTTTCGGCTAGCGGCTAGCGGCTAGCGATAAGACACGTTTCTTGCTCGGCGCTGTGTGGGGGGCGGGAGGACCCGGAAGGTCGGCAGGAGTTCTGCGACCGGAGTGGCGGCTCGAGTGGAAACCTGCTTGTGATTTCAGCACGCAGCCTGCTTTTGCAGATTATAGGGTTTCTCGAGCTCGAGCTATACGGAATGCCTCTTCCCTGTACTTGCTTGGTTGCTTGGTTGCTTGGTTGCTTGGTTGCTTGGTTGCTTGGTTGCTTGGTTGCTTGGTTGCTTGGTTGCTTTGCTGCTTTGCTGCTTTGCTGCTTTGCTGCTTTGCTGCTTTGTTGCTTTGTTGCTTTGTTGCTTTGTTGCTTTGTTGCTTGCTTGCTTCCTTGCTTGCTTGCTGCCTGCGTGCCTGCCTGCCTGCCTGCCTGCCTGCCTGCTTGCTTGCTTGCTTGCTTGCTTGCTTGCTTGCTTGCTTGCTTGCTTCTCGGTTGGGTGGTAGGCGTTGGTTGAAGCTAGTGCGTAACGACGACAAACCAAGCAAGACATGAGCAGAGAGAAAACAACAACAATAACCGGCACAACCTCGACAGTGACCACGAGGTAGAAGAGCCGCCAAAAACACTCCCACAATAAATTTGTTTTTGCATGGTGCTTGGTTACCACTGCTAACAAAAACGAAGTCGAAGCAGACCGGCACCGCCTCGGCAGTGACCAAAAGCACTCCCGCGGTACTGTCCAACAAAGCCGTCCAGCAAGGCGCCGTCCAGCAAAGGAGCGTCCTCCAGCAGAGGCCCGTCCAGCAAAGCAAGGGGCCGGTTCCCGTCCAGCAAGGAGCTGGGACCCGGCCCAGCAACGGCAAGGATCCGGGACCCGTCATCCAGCAAGGAGCTGCTGGACGGGTGCCAGCTCCTTGCTCCTTGCTGGACGGGTCCTTGTCGCTGGACGGGTTCTTGTCGCTGGACGGGTCCTTGCTGGACGTCGCCTTGCTGGACGGGTCCCTGCTGGACGGGTCCCAGCTCCTTGCTGGATGCCTTGCTGGATGCCTTGCTGGATGCCTTGCTGGGTGCCTTGCTGGATCTGGATGGGTCGGCTGCTTCGCTGGACGGCCCCGCTTCGACTTTATTTGTGTTGACGACGCGGTAAAAGCCAAGAAAAAGTACGTATATTGTGGGACTGTTTTTGGCGACTCTTCTACGACTTGGTCCTTGTCGAGGTTGAGAGGGGCACGTTGTCGAGGTTATCGTGCTTTTTGTCGTGGTTCTTCGCCCGTTGTCGTGGTTATCCCACGGTCTCGGCGTTGGTTGTTTGGTTGGTCGGTGGGTCGGTCGGTCGGTCGGTTCCTGGTTATTTGCCTTCAGTGGTTGGTCAGCTAGTTCATTGGTTGCTAGTTGGTTTGTTGGTAATTTGTTAGTTGGCTAGTAGGTAGTTGGTTTGTCGGTTCTTTGGTTGGTGGGTTGGTTGGTTGGTTGGTCGGTCCAGTCAGTCAGTCCGGCCACCCGTCCGTCAGTCAGTCAGTTATAGTCAGTCATAGTCAGTCATTGAGTCATAGTCAGTTGTAGTCACAGTCAGTCAGTCAGTCAAGCCAGTCAGTCAAGCCTCAGTCAGTCAGTCATAGGCAGTCAGAGTCAGTCATAGTCAGTCAGAGTCGAGTCAGTCATAGTCAGTCAGAGTCAGTCATAGTCAGTCAATCAGTCAGTCATAGTCAGTCAGTCAGTCAGTCAGTCAGTCAGTCAGTCAGTCAGTCAGTCAGTCAGTCATTCAGTCAGTCAGTCAGTCAGTCAGTCAGTCAGTCAGTCAGTCAGTCAGTCAGTCAGTCAGTCAGTCAGTCAGCTGGTTAGTCAGCTATTTAGCCAACCAGGAAGTTGCTTCGGTAGGCAGTCAGCCGTCAGCGACTTAGCCATTTAGCCATTTAGCGATCAATAGGGCATAATAGGGCACCAATAGGCAGCACCTAGCTACAGTAGCCAGACATTGGCTACTTAGAGGGGTCAGCAGCTGGACAGCTCAGTAGCTGACTGCCTCACTGATCACTTATATAAGTTAGCAAGCTAGCAGGCTGGTGCGCCTGATGAGGTCTTACGGCTGTGCCAATCAGCTTGCTGCCTGATTGCTAGATAGCAAGCTGCTCAAACAGCCCCTCACACTGATCTAGCTAGGTAGTCAGTTCGGGAAGCAGCTCCTTGGCTGAAAATCCGTTTTTGTTCCTGCTTGCTCCGCTAGCTAGTTAGCGCCGCTAGTCAGCTGGCTAGCGCAGGGGATGTGCTTGAGTTTCACGCCTAGTGTTTTGCAGTCGGTTCCCGTAGAATCACATGGCATTTCCGACAGGCTAGCGACATCAACCATGGCCAGAATGAGGTTGGTTGGTTCCTTCCTGGCTGCCAGATGTGGATGTGAGAGGTTATCGCTGTCCTGTTGAGGTGGCTTTGTACATGTGACGCCTTGCACAGACTAGGCATCATATGGAGAAACTCCAGCTGGGAAGTAATTGAGCCGAAGACGGACTGCTGGCGCTTTGGAAGCAGTTCAGGGCAGAGGCAACTTGTGACTTGTGTGATCCATTATGTGCTCACCATTCTGCATTTCCTTTGTGCAGGTTCGGCCGTGGACGTGCGTGCAATGTGATGCGTCTTGGCCGAGTGGAATTCTAGGACAGCTTTATGAAAGCGAAGAAAAACATGCACACCTCTCGAGGTAGTGCGGAGCCTGCTCATCCCATTTGAACTCGGGATGTATTTTTGTCAAGGGAATTCTATAGGTGGCGAAGAGCAACACGCTAGGATACTGGCATTCCCCGAAGACGCAAGGGAGCAATCCGTACGAGACACTCTGGAACTGGGGCTAGGTCCAGTCACAGAGAGCTCGTTTGTCGCGCTCGAGCTGGAAGCGAGGACGTTCAACAACCCCAACTTGACCCTGAAGGTATCCGTTGCTGGAGCGCACTTCCCGCACGGTGTGGACACGGGTGGCCTGGCAGTCACGGCAAGCCCGAGGCATGGAAATGCAGTGTCCTCGCTTAGTTGGAAGTTGGCAGTGTGTGATGCCCCTGTGTGTGTGTGTGTGTGCCTGGCATTGCCATCACTCGCGGGAGGTTCCCCAAGCGTGGGTTTGTGTGCGTGCGTGCGTGCTTCCGTGCTCGCATGTGTGTGTATGTATATATATATATATATCCAAAACCGCACGTTGAGGATGGTACTCTGAGTTTCTGGGCGTCCTTCGCTACAACTTGGAAAAGTCCAAGAGCGTGACAGACAAGGCTGACTTGTGAGGGCGCATGAAGCAGTCATGATGCTTAGTGGCAGGTCATAATGCTAGTGGATTCCAACGCTGGCTTGCACCAAGAGCCTGCCCTTTGGCATGAGAGGGTTCAAGTCCAACTCTCAAGCCCAGGGGATCGTGTCGCATGTGTGTGATTTTGTCATTTGGAATCATGCCTCAATCAGTGCTGGTGAGGATACACAAATGCTTCAAAAGATTGGAGCGCTAAGCCCTCACACCAGCCAGCCAGAGATGTGGTACAAATATAGGACACTGCAGCGAGCGGATGGGTTGCCAAGCTGACTTTGGCCATGGTGGTGGCAGGACGTGCTGCAACAACATTGGCTACCATTTATTCTACGACCGCGTGGCCGCCAACTTTGGGACACACCTAGCTGCGTGGCTATTCAAGATTTGCAACAAGGAAACACGGCAGTGCCACGGTATCTCAGGATCAGGTCAAAGACGCATACTATGGCAAGCAGTCCGCAGACTTCCACACGACCCCGCGCCTTGACACATTTCTTTGCTTCTGCGGCATCCAGCGATGCTCAGCCTTGTCCTTTCGCAATACGGGAGATGTCCATTTGGCAAGCGGTACTTTTTCGCCCCCACAGGCAAATACGGTGCCTGTGATGTTTCCTTCAGGCACACTCCGTCGAAACAGGGTTTTGCTTTCATTCTGGTTGCGTCGGCGCTGCGCATGCCGAGGTGGTTTGCAAAAGTTGCCAAGCCGAACTCGGCTGCCGCGGGCGAATACCACCAGCCTTTGATGGCACGGCTTAGTTTGTAGTTTGAGGGTCACTTTGTGGCCTCTTTTCTCCCATGAATTCTGTCACTCAGCGTGTTGTTATTTCTAGGGCGTTAGATGATGTGATAATGATTTGTGCGCGAGTGTGACAGCACGTGTTTGGCAGAGCCAACCTTCGGCAGCCTCGGCCCAAAGAAGACTGTGTGGTCAAGGCAGGCTGCCCGTGCAAGAGGTGCAAAGGGCATGGATCACGGAGCAGCCTCCATCCAAGTATGGAACTGATGTTGCAAGTTCCCTGCCCTTTGGGTGAAACTCCCTTCCCTTGCAGATTGGCGTAGCCCACCCGGGGCAAGTCCAGCTAAGTTCTCACCCAGGGCAGTGAGCATGTTGCAATTCGCAACCATGGCGTCTCCGGCCTGTCAATTGCACGTTCTCAGAGAAAAGGGCACGTGCAGTTGGTGGGCTGGGCATGGAGAGAGGCTCGGACAACAGCTTGTCACTTGGAAAGGTGCAGCCCGTGTACAGCCACAAGAAGTGGGAGGAGCTTGGCGAAAAGGCAGTAGCGTGTAACACCGGAGATCTCTAGGCATGAGCTGATCACTGCCTGCCCGGGCTAGCGTTCAGGAGCACTACCAAAAGAGTGCCCGGCACTTGAAGAACTGCCCGGTCCTAACTTGGGCTGACTTGGGCTTGTATCCTGGAAAGGGGATTTGTGAATGTTCCATCCATTGGACCCTGTTCTTTTGTTGTGTCCATTTCTTAGCCACGCTTGGGGCTTTTGGAGTCACGAGAGGCTCTGAGCCGTGCCCAGGCTGTGCATATCCAGTGGTCACGCGCATGTCCCGCGGGGGCAGTGCTCCAAGCGCCCGCTGGCTGCAGTGCCATTGGGCAACTCCATGGGCCTTTGGGCCTTTGGGTCTTGAGTCTCGGTGTAGAAATGCATTGGCAAACCCAGTTGGACGACAGGACTCTTTTCAAGTTGGGTGTATCGTGCTTGAACACTTGATGCTTCTGCCACAGATTTCAAACAAGTTAGCACGACATGGCGTGTTAGCGCAGCATCGCACATGCCAGGTGATGATGCAGATAGCGCCGGACGGAGGGCCGCTAGCCAAGCGCCTCCTACCTCTCATCTCCCTCCCGCAAAACCTGCAGAAGTGGGAAGAGGATTCCAATCAAAGCTTTGCAGAGCTGGGCTGCAACACGCCCTATGCAGCTTGCGGCTCAGGTCCAGGCCAGACTCTGGTGGCCAGTCTCCAGGAATGTCAGGAATGGGATCTGGTCAGGCCTCTGCCGAGGCGAGGTTGGTCTTGGAATGAGGGCCTACCCTGTTGCGGGGGGGGGGGGTATTTGTTCAAGGTAGCAAGGAAAGAACAGTTTAATGGGGAGGTCCCGATGTGTCATATGGCCAGATCATTGTTTGATTTGCGATTCCTCACGGTCAGGAGGACCGAAGGTTCGTCCTCAAAGAAGGCCTTCGTATCGGTCGCGGGCTTGTTTTCAGGAGATGCTTTCGGGCCACCAGTTTGGAGTTTCTGATGCGACGCTGATGGTTTCAGTGCATCGGCACCGGCTTCAATTTGTTTGTCTTGTCCGCCCAGGTGAAACTTATTATTTGCCCGAACCTGAGAGGGTCCATGGTGTCCCATGTGGGGCTTCAATTCAATGCGACGCTTAGGTTGGAGATGTCCACCGATGGCCGAACCCTGAACGCCTGCGGCCCAGGTTGTCCCATGGAGGAAAACAGCACGCGCACGCGCATCGGGTCCCTGCAAACCGCAACTCGCGCTTGGCCACGTCCGCAGTTGCTTTGGCAAACTCCAGCCGGAGGTTTTAGGTGAGTGGGTTTCCAAACTTGCAAAGGCATGCTGTAGGTTTGTTTGGAGGAGGGTTCGCTTCGACGGCGCCGTTCTGTGGTAGGGCAAGTCTAGTTGCATGTCACTTAGAACAGGTGTTGGATTCTGGCCTAGTGACGCACTTGGTTTGCATAATATATCATCATTGTCTTCTCCCCATGGCATTTGTTTCGAACAGTTTGATTGATTCTGTAGCGGGCACAGGTGGGTTTCCACACCTACACTATGTGGGCATGGGCTAAGGTCATTTTCCTGAGCTCGTAGTTTGAAGCTCACCAGCGACAGCAGGGAGAAGCACCCGAGGAACTCTCCCTTGGTTTCCCCTCAAAGTAACGCCCAACAGGGCACCCCCGCGCAGAGACGCTAAACAGCCCTGCAGACCAATGGTGTAGAGTGCCATTCGGCCCAAGGAAGTGTCCGCATTTGCTCGTCAGGTCTCAGCCTATGACGGGGAGACCAAGACTTCTTTGGAGCTCATCGTCAAAGAGAAGGCCATTAACCTGATGGGCTGTGAAAGGGCCCGGCACATCCTGGCAGCCTTTCACCCAGGTCCACCGCTCTCTCTACCGGGAGTGCAATGGTGACTATGCGCAAATCGCCGCAATGCGATTCGCTCAGCGGGCTTGAACTTGGATTTGCGGACGACCGTGGAGGTTCGCGGCGGGGGCGTGCGATTCAGGCTGCGAGTCGAGGGCAACCGCTTGGTGCTGGACAACCCTCTTGCTCAGCAGCAGTGAGGGCAAGCAATATTTCTGATCAGGCCAAAGCGCATGTCCCTGAACATCCACTTATTTGATAGTGAGTTCTGTGCGAAAGGAGCTTCAGAAATGATTGACCCCGATTGGCTGGATAACTAGGATTGGGCCACTTCTCAAAACTGGTTGGAGACCTTCTTCTCCGCAGGTTGGCATCCGCTTGATCATTGCGATCTTTCTCATTCTGTCTCCGCCTCACTTCGGCAAAAGTCTCTTCCGAGTACAGCTTTTGATCAAGTGGGCCCTTCTGCGTAGGTCTGCCGAGTGTCCATGTTTACTTGTGCGTCTGAATTCATGGGAGCCTGGGAGCTCTCAAATCGGAGAGTCCTCAGGGCGCAGTCTCACACAGTGCAAGGGGTTAGCCTCGCCCTGCTTCCACAATCCTCGCAGGCCGACCTTGCCTTGGTTTCCCTCAAAGAAAAGCGGCCATGGCGATATCCGGGCACATGTCAAGGGAAGGCATAGCAGCATTCCTGGTTCCATCGGACTTGCTTGCCCAGGGGCTCCGGGGCAGGCAGGGTGACTCGACAGGGCGGACGGGGCGCTGGCCGCCATGCGCCGGAGAACTTTGCTCCGTGCGGCGCTGTGCTCCGTGTGCCTTGCAGCTGGGCTGGGCTTCGTGGCTCCGGCCCCATGGGCGCGGGCGCGGGCACAGCGAGCGCCAGGGCCAGGATCGCCTGGGTCACTGCGGGTTGGCGAGCCACGGGTGGCACAAAAGGCGCGTTGCGAGTTGGGCGCATGCCGCGCACAGTGAGTGCTGTGGTGCTTGCGGGGTGCACAGGCCTTCGCAGCATCTCCAGCCATCACGCTGGTTGGGGCTGTCATGGTTCTTTTGGGCTTCCAAGTGATGAACACGGAGGCCCGGAAGGGCGGGCTGCTGACCGGCTCCCACAGCCGCCTTGTCCTCAGGCTAGCGACGACGCGCTCAAAGACCTGCTGCAGAGATACACCAACATCCAGATCATTGACGTGGGGCCAGACGAGGATGTCAAGGACGTGGCGAGTGGCGCTTCTCATCGGCCTGTTCTGCGGGGCAAGACGCCAGAAGATGTTCACTGGTACGTGCCATGGCAGCATGACTTGTTGGCTTGTTGCTGCCAGTACAGTCTGTGCCAATCTGAGGCTCGCACTGATCTAGACTTACCGCCCGTGCAATGGTTTCTCAGATGCTTGGGATGCATCATGGCAACCCACCGGCACTCACGGCCGAAGACACGCACACAGCAAGCACGCAACTCACCAAAACACACGCACGCGCACACACACACACACACACCGTGGAAAAAAACACCAGGGTAGACATCAAAGCAACAAGTTGGACAAAAACAATCACAGACTTTGACACGAGAGCCTTCAACTGGTTTTGGAGTCTCACGCATTTGTTTCCTCAATCCACTGTTCAAGCCACAAAGAATAATGTGTGTCGTCAGGGGGCCGTGGAGGTTGGGGCAAAAAGGACAGTGGATTAGAGCCTCCTGAACTTTGGCCTACACTCTCGGATTGGTGCATGAAGACTCTTAACGAACATGAGGATTTTTTTGAGCAAGAACAGCGTCACTAGCTTGCACGGCTGACAAGAGATCTTGAAGTTAGAGGACCGGTTCCTGCATCTACCATGCACATGCTAAGATCTCTCCCAGTTTCACCGTGCCTGTTGATGCCATTGTTCCACCTCCTCCAAGTCTTTCCACCTCCTCACGTAAGATTTGCATCAATATGCTGAGCGCTGTTTTTTGTCCGTGCTTGTGCTCAGGAAACGACACGGTGCTGCGGCGAGTGCTGTTCGAAGGCGGCCTGGGCCTGGGAGAGTCCTACATGGACGGTCACTGGGACAGCGACGACGTGGAACGACTGGTCTATGAGCTTTTGCGCATTGAAGACCTCACCAAGGTGGGCCTTTGTTTGTGCTGGAGGTTTTTCTAGCGATCATTGGGCAATTTGGCCATGAGCGTGGTCAGATCGATGCACGAGTTTTCCGTGCATGGTTGGTTCCACTGGCCATGGAAGAGGGGCAGAGCAGAGCTTTCCGGTTGAAACAAGCAAAGCGTATATTTCTGGTTGAGGCATCCTGCATTTGTTGAAGGATTGCAAAGTTTGACAATGCTGTTGCTTGCTTTGCGTCTCGCATTTTTGACTTCAATTTGTGCTGGTCAGGAGCTGGGGGCACGGGAGTTGCCCCTTCTGGGCACCATCCTGTTCGGAGCAGTGAAAGGCAGCACCGCGAGCCATCGAGATTCAAACATGCAAACGAGGCTGTGGAACGCATGTGTACCTCTGTGTGCATTTTTGTCGGAAGAATCGTTCTCCCCCCCCCCCGGCTCCCCCAATGGAAAGAACACAGGTAATTCTTACCGCGAGCTGTTGCAATGTTGCAAGACTTATTTGTAACTTGTTGCCCTGTTGAAGAAAGCGTTGGCACAGTTGCAGACGTGAGATGGTCAATGATGTGCTTCGTGCTTGGCACTTGCCTGCCGGCCCACAGTTGCGAAGCATCTCGCTATCTGTCAAAAGGTATGTAGCTCCTTGGCTTCTTGGGGCAGGGCATGGCGGGCTTCTCAATACCCGACGCCAGCCGTTTCTTCCGTTGATTTTTTGGCGTTTTGGCAGGCAAGTTCCTAGAGATGCCGGGCAACACCGTGGAGGGAGCCTCGGAGAACATCAACCGGACCTACGACGTGGACGCTTGGCCTGTGAGAGAGGGAGGGGCTTGATGTTTGACCTCGGGGATAAGTAGAACACGGTGGATTAAACAGGATCAAAGGTCAGGGTTGTCCTTCTCAATTTGCATTGCAGCCCCAATATTCATCGACCAGGGATTTATTCATGCGGGGTTTCCATCAGAGCAGGGTGTGTCCAAGGAAACCATCAAAGTCTATGAGGAGATGCTGGACAGGAACATGCAGTGCTCCGGCCTGATTAGCTGCGCGCCTCTGGATTCGCAGGGCGGCCGGCGCAGCTTCAGCGTGATGCTGTAAGGTACTCCGTCGGCTACTTCTACAAGCCAGACCTCACTTTGGATGAGGCCCAGGTGGCCAAGATGGAAATGATCGGCAAAAAGCTGAACCTGAAGCCTGGCACCTTGGCCTCAAGCCTTGGGCCTCAAGCCTTGGGCCTCAAGCCTTGGGCCTCAAGCCTTGGGCTTGGCGGTCTCAGGTGAGGCATGGGTGGCTTGATAAGCGTTGATAAGTGTGTCATGCCGGAGTCATGCCGCAAAGGTTGAGGCGACCCATAGAAAGCGGGGGGAGCCCTAGTGCACAGGCGACATGTCAGGTATGAAGCTCCTGGAGATCGGTTTTGGCTTTGGCGGTTTGGCGAACTTTTTGGCGACCAAGTACGATGTGCAGATCACAGCTGTGACGCTGTCCAAAGCACAAATGGCACCTGCCGCATTAAAGGGATGTGTTTTCTGTTGCAAGTTCAAAGATGTTTCAAAAGTTTCTGATGTGTTCTGAGACACCTTTGCCATTCAAAATGGTGAGCCGAAGGAGTGGGCCAAGAAACACAACGGCCATCCGAACATTGATTTTCGCTTCGCTGACTATCGGGAAGCTGAAGGCAAGTTCGACCGCGTCTACTCGGTGGGGATGTTTGAGCACGTAGGGCGTAAGTCCTTTGCCACTTACTTCGACAAAGTCTATGACTGCCTCAAAGACGATGGCATATTTTTGCTGCACACGCTGGGCTGGGCCAAACGTGGCGAATGGAACCACAACGCCTTTGATGCTTGGCAAGGCAAATCGTCGCCACTTGCGGCCAAGCCCTCATTTCTGGTTCCAGGTTCCATATCCCATTTTGAACCTTGTACCAAATAGCCCACATGGTTTCATCAAAGGAAGCCAACGGGGACGGATCATGCTTCTGTTTTGCCAGGCCTAGTAAGCAGGCATGGCCGTGTTGAGGTGGGGAAGTACATCTTCCCCGGGGGGGAGCTGCCAACTCTGTACCTCCTCACGGAAGAGTTCTCCGACAAGTGGCATTTGGAGGCTGGGACGTACAGGCTTTGCAAGGGGAAGGGAATCTACTGGGTCCGTCAAAAAACGGCGTCTTAGAATGAGTTTGAAGAGAAGCAAAAGGACACACGGAGGGGTCTGCATGTTATAAAGTGCTCCGGTTTGCATATTGGTTGCTGTGAGGGTTTGTTCAGAACTCCCATCATGGTTATAGTTGAACCCCAACTCTTGCTCACACATGGCCGGCAGCAGGACTTCCAAAGTCTGGGCAAATGCTACGCCGGGGCCTCGGGGCTGTTTGTTTGAGAGCGGTCTATTCTGAAGCTTCGACAGGTGCAGACTTTGCGGAGTTGGCTTGACAATCTAAAGACGTGGGATGGCATGGATGAGTTCGATTCGCGTTTCAAGCGCATGTGGGAGTACTACTTGAATTGCTGCGCAGCAGCTTTCGAAAAGAGGAGGACTGGGTTGCAGCGGCAGTAATGCAGGACGTGTCGGTTGAAAGCATTGAGCATGCCAGCTTCCCTTGTCATGCTGCTGCTCGTCCCTACGGGCGGGCGCAGGACCAAGGTTTGGCAAATGGTTTGGACAAAGCAAAGCAGCACCAGGCGCGACTCATGGCCCAAGCAGCCGGAGCAGTGACAAAGCTCATGGCCAACGCTTTGTAATGCATGTGTTGGTCAGGCTTGATGACTGCCACCACATCCGTTTGCGGGATGGGAAGCCGATTTGAAGCCTGACAAAAACGAAATGACGGGCCAAAGTGCCGTGTTCCACCTGCCTGGCTCCGGGAAGGTTTCTGGCTCCATCTGGCATCTGGGTTTCCCCCGTTCTAGGAATCGTTGCGGGGTTCCAACGCTTTAAGTCGGCGCAATCTCGAACGGGGTTGTCTTATGTCTGGATGACTCATCCGCTGCACTCAGAGCGGAAAGGTGGAAGGAGGATGCTTGCGCCAAGTTCACAAGCTGCAGGCAGCATTTGGCGTTGCCAGCTGAAATGGTCGCTAAGCCGCTGGCTGTGAGCCGAGTAGAAGAGTCAGCGCTTTCTCAGTGTTGGCCTCAAAACCTAGTGCTGCTACTAGGTAGCTTGTCGCGCCCTTTGGTCTGTGACGAGGACTGGCCAAGGGCGTTTTTTTCCCAGCAGTGCCTAGTAAGCTTTGCGCAACTCCTCCACTCATGGCCGGCCATGATCCAGCCAGAAGTGCTGGCGGTCTCTTGTCTGCACTTCACTTTGCGTTTGCGAGTTGTACATGCTGCAGCGGCAAGCACGCTCTGAGGCGATGCCTGCCAAACAGACGCTTGGATGGGAACAAGCGGATATGCCGACTCGCTTCACCATGGTTGCTGACTGGTGAGGTATTTGGAGCACTTCCACCTGGACTTCTATCTGCCCCTTGGCATAAGCCAATGGCCCTGCATCAAGGTTTGCCTCGTGGCAACCCCGTATCAACGCCTCGAGTTCCTTCCCTTGTGTTCGGTTCATCACTTGCAAGGGTCCTTCTGCATGAGCTGAACTGCTCATGCTTCCTAAAAATCTGGCCTTCACCTTCCGAGGTCAGAGGCGGTCTCTCTGGAGGGCCCGTCGGCCCCGGAGTTGCTGCGAGAGTTCTGGCAGGTGTCACGGGGACACGTAGGTTCAGATGGGCTCCTTTTCAACAGAATCCACCACCAAAGGCTAACCTCGAAACAAGGCACACCCAAGTATTCAGAAGGTCAAGCCATTTGGTTAATTGAGATAAATTGTGGCCACCAATTGGGCAGGGAACTTGTAGGCATTGCGAAAGAGGAAATGAGCAGCGTGGGCCGTCGCTTGGAGTTTTCAGCCTACCCGTGGGGTCTGGCCACAGCTTGTCAGGGCGTCTTGGATGGAAGCCGCCTGCAGTCCAAGGGTGTCGCGTACTTCAGGTGCGGGTCACCAACACAGCCGCGCAGATTTTCTCTTGAACATAATCTAAGTAAGCCCTGCCCAAAAGGGATTGCAAAAGGACCACCCCAGAAAACAGAGCGGTGGCAGGTGGCGCAAATTGTCAGCCGCATATGCTTCGCCTCTGGACGCAACGGCAGAGAGAGAGAAAGAGAGAGATACGCTTCGCCAGGACTGCAGTTGCGACTCCAGAGAACCGGCGGGCCTTTGTGGCATTGATGAGGTGCCGGGTTTCAGCAGGAATCTGAAAGCTAAAGGGTTCTTACTTTTAAAGAGGCAGCAAGTTCGGGCCAGGTTGTTGTTGCGGGTGCTGGTTGGGGTGCCTGAGGTGCTGTGGTGGTTGCTGCGGTGCTTGTTTCGCCATACGGCTGTTGGGTGCTAGTCAGGGTGCTGCTTGGTGTGCCCAAGGTGCTGCTGTGGTTGCTGGCGGTGACATGCAGCTAGGGTGCTGACCAGGGTGATCTTGCAGTCGTGACGCTGGCCAGGGAACTGGGTGCCAGTCAGGGTGTTTTTCACCAAACAGCAGTGCCGACACACGCGTCTCGCTCGTTTGGATTGCGCACAAAAGGTCCTCTGGAATCCTCTATGTTGATTTCGAATGCAGGGACGCACGAAACTGTGTGCTGGGAGATGGCTTTTCGATAGATCTGGCGCGAAATCTAATTTTGATCCCGCCGGGCCCGCCCGAAGAGGTGTCTGAGAGTCTGAGGGCACCGATGGAGTTGAAGCTGTGGCGCAGAGAATGCTGCGTCTGAGTGAATTGTGAAGGATATGACTCAGCGGGCAATCATTTTAACACCAACGCACATACGCAGCCTGAGCCGCAGGTGAAATAGAAGCTGGCGTTTGCGCCCTTGACTTTGAGGAAATGCTTCGAGCTGTCTTGAGGGCACGCTCTTGTCTGTGGCGCCGTGCGACTTATGAATCGGACTTTGGGCGTGTTGGGGCCCTCGCCGTGGCCCAGTGCGAGTTTGTTTTTGCATCGAACGGGAGCCCTCGGACTTGGCGGGTCTCATCGCCCTCGTTGCGGCGTGGCGCGAGTGCTGAAAATCGAAGGTGAGCCCTCTGCGGGCTGTAGGTGGCTCGGGCGCTCTCGCCGTGGCGCGGCGCAGAAAAAGGATCGAAGAGGAGGCAGGATCGTGTTGAGGATGCGAACCAGGCCTTGGAAAGAGAAGGTCCGAAAGCAGACGAGAGCGGAAGGAGACGAGCAGAGAAAAGAAGAGAAGAGAGGCGCAAGGGGAAGAGAGGAGAAAAAGCAGAAGAAAGGAGAAGAGAAAGAAAAAGAGATTCAGATTGCGCGACAGGTGCAGCGCCTGGGGATAGACCGCGGTCAAACCGAGCGACTTGCGAAAGCCACCTGTGGTGCGACGCGAGCGGGCGCGGAGCGGGCGATTTTTTGCGTTTTCGGCGACACGGGTTCGCAAGCTCTTCGCAACGTGAGGTTTTTTAGATTGTGTGGCAGGTGCAGCGCTTGTTTCGTGAAAGGCGCAACACGTTCGCAAGGCCAGGTGTGGATTTCGTGACAGGCGCGCAGTCAGGCGCAGATTGTGTGACAGGCATGACACTTTTGCAACGTTGGAGAGCGGCGCGCGCGAATTCGAATGAAATGGCGCGGAGGTGCGTTCGCGCGCCGATGTCGTGGCTGGCGCAGCGCTTTCGCAAGGTCAAGCTCAGATTTCGGGCGCTTTCGCGAAGTCAAACTTCGTGGCAGGCTCTCCGCAACGGAGGAGGTCAAATACGGAGTTTCTTGGCGGGCGCAGCTCAGAAGATAGCAGAATAAAGGATAGATTGAAACTGAGATGAGACGAGTACAGCGAAGTAAAACGATAGTGCTGAAAGCTTAAAAAGGCAGCAGGCAGAGAGAGAGAGAGCGAGATAGAGACACAGAGAGGGAGGCTGGATAGGTATACATATAAATACAGATAGAAAGATAGGTAGATGAATCGAAAGATAGACAGACAGAGGCATAGATAAATACTAAAGTAGATACGTTGGTAGGTTGAGAGATAGATAGACAGACAGACAGATAGATAGATAGATCGGCTGATAGATAGGCAAGGTAGATAGATGGGTGGGTGGGTATATATAAGAGAGAGAGAGAGAGAGAGATAGAGCAAGAGAAAGAGAAAGGAAACTCTGCAAAGACCCTGCTACAGAGATATTGTCCAGGACCCTCTACAGAAACACTAGTAAAATTTATCTCAGACAAATCTTGCGCAGAACCCCTTTCCACGGCAGACCTTCCATAGGTTTTTTCAGCAGCCTCATTAAAAAGCGCGCAACACCTTCTATAGAGACCATGCGTGGTCATTTGTGAAGCAGTGCTTGTTTGGCAAAAAGCCAAGATGCTGGTCAAGGCGATGGTGGTAGTTGCTGGTGGTGCTTGTTAGGCAGGGTGCTGTTGCGGGTGCTGGTCAGGGTGCTATTTGGAGTGTTCCAGGTGTGGCGGCAGTTGCTGGTGAAGCTTGCTTGGCCGTGCTTTTGGGCGATGGTCGGGGTGCTGGCCCGGCGTGCTCGAAGTGGCATGGTTGCTGGTGACGGTGCTTGTTTGGCAATGCATGCAGGGGGCTGGTTAGGGTGCTGTTTTGAGGGGGCTGTTTTGGGTGTTGGTCGGGGTGTGTAGCCAGGGTTCTGTTTGCATTCTAGTCAGGGTGTTGGTGTGGGCGCTAGTCTGGCGTGCCTTATGCGAGGCAGTTGCTGGTGGTGCTTGTTTGGTGATGCAAGTGGTGTGCTGGTTGCTGGCGATGCTTGTTGGGCGTTGCAGTTTAGTCGCTTATTTGTTTGCTCGCCCCATGGCAAGCATTTTGAGGCAACGCCTGAGTCGCGTGGTGCCGGACCCAGAGACCCTGGCTGTGACACCCCTCGACTTCCACGACATGCTGGCAGTGGCCCTAGAGAGGTCCCGCGAGGCCATGGGGCCGCATGGCGCCCACCCGAAGACATGCACTCCAAGATTCTGACGGATTCTGAGACGTAGAGAGAGCGAGATAGAGAAAGAGAGAGAGGACATCTTCTAGAAGAGCTGCAGTGCTGGGCGAGGCTATCCCCGGCATGTAAAGGGGGTTTGGGTGCCGCGCCCTGCTTTAACGCCATGTGTGACTTGAGCCTCCGATTCTCCTGGAGAGTTTGTGATGACCACTGCCAGTCTGGCAGAGGTTTTTGTTTGTCCTGACTTCCCCTTGAGCCTGGTGATCGACGCTGCAGAGTTCGCCCAACGCGCGGACAGATTCGGTTTTGTGGGCAGTCGTTGTATGCGGCTTCCACGAGGTCAGTATTGAGTACATCCGCCCCATTGCGCAGGACAGAGATGGGTACCGAGTCCTTGGACAGATGGCAGGACCCGCAACATGTGCTCGAGGTGTTTGTGCAATTTTAGTCAGCATTGCCAGCAGGCTTTTGTGCAGTCATTCATGCGTGGCACATCATTGCGCATTGCTCACGGGAGACATGTTATTGCAAGGCGGTGGCAGACATGTTGCTGCAGCGCTGGATGCAGGCGAGGTCTTGCCTCTCGTCTCATGTGGCACCTCTTGTTTTTTGTTTGCCATCGGGTGCAGCTTCGAGTTCTTGCTGTGGGGCGTTCGCTTTGCGAGGAGATGCTTTTAATTTCTTGGCTGGGTTTCTGATTACAATGCCTCTGAGGTCTCCACTTGCAGACTTGCAGCGCATGGTGGAGTGCCGCCTAGTCTACGCTGAGGCAATGGTCTCGCGAGATTCTTGCAGGCAAATGGTGTGCCAGTTGCAGGTGCTCGAAGCAGTGCGCAGCCTCTATTCTTGCAAAGGCTGGGCAATGTGCTGCTCAGGCTAAGCGCCGTGAACGTCGGGGGGGGGGGGTTTGGGGAATACGTATGTTGTTATTGTGGCATATGTCAGGCTTTGCGTGAACGTAGCCAAAGAGCCGTGTAGGCTTTTCACCTGCCATGGCTACAATGGCTGTTGACTGGGGCCAACGTGCCAGGAGATGATTGCCAGGTGCCACTCACCCGCCTGTCCGTTGTCACGCATCTCAGGTGTGGCTTGGCCAAGAGTCTGCTTGAAGCCTGTGTTTCGTGCCAGGGAACTTTTCAACGGCATGAGCATCCCGCTGGGCGCCGCCACACCCAGCAGCAGCAAGGAGCTTGGACTCCAGAAGAAAGCTGCTCCGTGGCCTCGATTCAGCCGAGGAGCTCTGCAGCAGTTCTTGCAGGGCTCTTGTACCGTGGAGGGCTGCCTTGCACAGCTCACTCTGCATGAGGCGCGTCGTTTGGTCCGCAGAATCGCCTCCCGCCTTACCTCCAGGCAGTGCGGGAGGTGGCGAAGCACTTTGAGCTCGTGCCCCCACCAATCCCTGATTGCCTGCTGAAGGCTGGATGGTTCTCCCTTGCAGCGAGATGCAAGCAAGTACATAGTTTTACACTGGAGCAAGGCTGTCATGGCCTTGTCCTAGGATTGTGGTTTTGCGGGCCGAAGGCAAAATGCACTGCCGCACTGCAGCTGTGGTTCGATGTTTTTTACGTCTTTCCCACGGAAGCACTTCCCCGCTTCTCTCAAGCAAACTCTTACAACCGCAATGCGTTCACTTCTGAAATAAGGCAATTATTTTGTTCGCAAAAGCAACCTGTCATACATCTAGCAGCAACTAGTGCCACTGAATCACGCTGAAGCACTTGTGCAGATATGGCTCGCGGAAGCTTGGCAGAAAGTCTCGCAAAAGAGGTGATTTGGAAATTGACAGCCATCCCCAATGAATGAATGCACGGTATAGTGAGGGGGGTCGATACGTTCTCTCTTGGTGGGTAGGGGAAATGACGTAAATCCAGGGGAGGGCGCCATGACTTCAAGTTCAGAGTGGGGATTTGCTTGCGGTGCTATGCTTGGCAGGCGCCACCTGCGGAGGACAGAAGTGGTGGCGAGGGCTGCACATGAATTCTGCCGTTGGATGCCTTCTCATAGGAGCCGCAAGCAAGCGAAGCTGAAGAGAGGGAGGGCCCAGAAGACAAGGAGACGGAGAAAGAGAAGGAGGCCACCACTGAGGCCCTGTCCCGTGACTATCGAGCCATGCGAACCACTATGAAATGAAGGCAGGCCAGAATTAGCTGCCAATTGGCTCCTGCAGGCAGCAGAAGCCCTGGGACGCACGTTCCAGGCCAGGGCTGGAGGGACATACGAGAAACTGAAAAAAAACACACCCTCTCCCATAATTGCTTCGCTTCATCATCAACGCCGCTCCCGTACCAACCACGGGTGAGGCAGAGGGGCAGAGTGGGTCACGCGACTAAACTGTGGGCACTGCCAAGAAGTAAAGCTCTTTCCTTCACCGCTCGATAGAAGCCTTCAAGGTCAGCACAGCCCTCCCCACAAATCGAACTCTTGCAACATCCACAGAAGAAACGGAACCAGCAAGCATTTGGAAAGCAAGTTCTGGCTTCGGAGCTTGGAAGGGAGCATTTCTCCAGCCTCGGCCAGGGCGGCGCCCGGCCGCGGCCGCCAGAGAGGCGCGTTCTCCGGAAGGTTTGGCCGAATTCAGGAGATGCCGGGGCGGCGAAGACCTAGGTATCAATCCCAAAGCGGAATATTCTCCAAGATAGCTGGTTTGGGAATTCATGTCCACCAAAGGCTTCCCCAAATTCGCGCCCATTTGCCGTTTTTTTGTTTTTTTTAACCAAGGTCCTGTGGGCAAGTCGTGGCTAGTGGTGTGGCTGGCTTTTGGGGCTAGGCTATTCAAGGAACAACTCATCGAGGGGAGAAATGCACTCGTCGGCAGGCGTCGCTTTGAGCGAAGCGCCAGTGGTAGCATGCTGCGTGCACGCAGTGGTCGGCCATAGGCTGAAGTGGGTAGATGGCGACACGTTCCCAAAGAGGGACGCTCCTGGATAGCAGGAAAAACGAGCTCGCTGCGGAGCTTTGCCAGTTGAGCTTGAGTTTCCCCGGTCAGCGGTGCTCCTTGAGTGGCTAGAGAGCGAGCGAGAGAGAGAGAGAGAGCAGTTCTGAAGTCCGTGTCTCTTGTTTAATTTGATGTTTGATCAACAGCCTAGCAGATGATTGAGAGGTGTTTCCCCTGAAAGCAAAGGACCCCACTTCAGTGGCACCTGCCCAACGAATGCGTGAGTTTGGCATTGGTATAGCCAAGAATACACGGGGATGGGTAGACGTCATGCGGGGTATGATAGCTTGGCATAAGGACTGCTTGCAAGAGTTGCTTGACCAGCAACGTTTGGCTAACAAAACCGAGAAGCGGCCGCTCACCGTTCACGGGCCCGACGGGCCCGACGGGCCCGACGGGCCCGACGGACCTGACGGGCCTGACGGGCCCGACGGGCCTGACGGGCCCGACGGGCCCGACGGGCCTGACGGGCCTGATGGGTTTGATGGGCCTGACGGGCCCGACAGCTTCAGGCGCTTGACGGGCCTCGCGTGTGTGACGGGCTCCACGCGCTGGGCGGGCTTAAGCGAAAAGATAGATCATTGGCTAACGATATCTAACGATAGAACGACAGACAGAATGATCGATAGTGAGAGATATTGTGACATGTTGGTAGGTATTGTGACATGTTGATAGACATTTACAAAGGTAGGAGAGATAGTAGATAGATAGATAGATAGATACACAGACAGACAGATAGATAGATAGGTAAATATAGATAGATAGGTACATAGATGGATCCGATTAACATATCTTGGATAGGTGGTAGATGGATAAGTAGGTAGATGGACAGAGACAGGTAGACGAAACTGAAGAAGAGAAAGATAGACAGAAAGAAAGATCGGTAGGTAGATGGACAGTTAGATAGGTAGACCGATGCATACATAGACAGATACACAGATAAATCGGTAAGAGAGATATGTAGATAGAAGGATAGCAAGATAAAAACAAAGGGAATCGAGAGATAGATCGATTAGATTGCATTAGAACAGGAAACGAGATAGGCAGATAGGCAAATGGATTAGATTGGGTTGGATTAGGTCAGAGCAGGTTGGATCAAACAAATAGGTCATTACGCCATGAGGCGCGTGGTGATTTTCAAGGTTCGCCCTTCTTGGTTTCAATGCACCTGCCAATGATTTCAGCTTTTCTCAATGAACAACTGTGGTTTTATAATTCCTCCAAACTAATGTTTTTCAGAGAAAACACCCTTCATCTGACATCATCTCCATTTGGGCTCAATTTAGGTTGTGCGCTCCAAACATTGAGCAAATCAGATCACACCACCAAATTTCTTTGCAGCTGCACATCTTCGCAAGCTGGTTGGCGGGCCTCTACTTGATGCTCTCAGCCTCATACTTGATGCTCTCAGCCTCACCTCAAAAATTCGTGATATGATAAACTGGCGGGCATCTACTTGACGGTCACGTGGAGACAGCCGCCAAAAGCAAAGGCAGCGCCTGGCGAGAACGCGAGACATAAGAGACCCACGAAGACCACAGAACGTTCTGATCATCACACAGTGCACGAAAGTCAATTGGAGATACGGTCAGGCGTCGCAGAAGCAGCAATCGCACAATCCCAAACTGGACCTGACACCGAAACAGCAGCAAAGACATCAACCCCCCTCCCCCCCCCACACCTCGCCAGAAAAACAGCTGAAACGCCGCGAAAAGACCAGAGGCCCTGTGGAACTAGCAACAAATACGTTGGGAAATGCGCAGATGCGTTGATGGACAAACGGATGGACAAACAAAAGAATGGACAGGAAGATGGATAGATGCACAAAGACCTCGATGGATGAATAGGCAGGCAGATGGCTAGAAAGAAAGATGAGTAGGCCAACAGGGCATGTAAGTGGAGCAGACACACACGAACGCAACAGTATTGGCTTCTATCAAGTCCGAACCATGTGCCTAGCATAACCAGAGCTGCCGGCACCTGTTTGCCCAATAGCATCTCTGGTGCGATGGGTGCGGGGAGCTTTCAACGGGGCCGTGCTGGTGGGATGTGGGCTCCGAGCGGCCGTGCTGGTGGGATTTGGAGGGCGTTGGCTTCTGGGATGAGAGCGTTTGTGGGCGTGAGCTAAAGGAAACAACTAGACCACGGTTGGCCCGAAAGCATAACATCGCAAGCGAGGTCGGCCCAACGCTGCAGGATGCGTTGTTTTTCCCTACACGAAGCATTCGTGAAGCAAGCGCGAGACAGCACCAGGCAAGGTGCTCTGCGCAAACTGGTCGGTGCAAGTTGGTCTGCGCAAGTTGCTCTACGCAAGTTGCACTGTGCAAGTTGCTCGGCGCAAGTTGCTCCGCGCAAGTTGCTCCGTGCAAGTTGGTCCCTGCAAGTGGCTCCCTTCAAGCTGCTCTGTGCACATTGCTCCGTGCAAGTTGCTCCCTGCAAGTTGCTCTGTGCAAGCTGCTCTGTGCAAGTTGCTCTGTGCAAGTTGCTCTGCGTAAGTTGCTCTGCGCAAGTTGCTCTAGGCAAGGCGCTCTGCGCAAACTGGTCGGTGCAAGTTGGTCTGCGCAAGTTGCTCTGTGCAACAAGTTGCTCTGCGCAAGTTGCTTTATGCAAGTTGCATCTTGCGACGCCCGCCCGCGGACCAGGGAGGAATCGAACCCGCGACCCGCCGGTCCCGGGAGCAGGCGCGCGCTTGCACTTGCAATGACTCCTTGCAATGACTCCTTGCAACTCCTTGCAACTCCTTGCAATGACTCCTTGCAATGACTCCTTGCAATGACTCCTTGCAATGACTCCTTGCAATGACTCTTTGCAATGACTCCTTGCAATGACTCCTTGCAATGACTCCTTGCAATGACTCCTTGCAATGACTCCTTGCAATGCTTAGCAATGACTCCTTGCAATGACTCCTTGCAATGACTCCTTGCAATGACTCCTTGCAATGACTCCTTGCAATGACTCCTTGCAATGACTCCTAGCAATGACTCCATGCAATGACTCCTTGCAATGACTCCTTGCAATGACTCCTTGCAATGACTCCTTGCAATGACTCCTTGCAATGACTCCTTGCAATGACTCCCTGATCCTTCCTGCTGCTTCAACCAGCGGGCTCTTTTGTTTTGTGGCCAATGTCCTCTCACTGTTCGGGCCCGGGAAGTTTGTCGGGACTGTCAAGGCCGACGAAAGAGGAGGCTACTAACTTGACGCAGTCATTGACACGAGGCTGCCGTTGTCTAACAACCCACGCCAGGCACGGAGCAAGATCTGTCCAACTAGCCTACTATTCCCGAAAGCATGGCGAAGGGTTCTTCCGCTGGGTTCACTTGAGTTGTTCTCATGAGAGTCATTACAAGGTGTCATTGCAAGGAATCATCATCATGAAAGTCAGTGTCAAGGCGAGTGGCGAAGAAAGTACGAAACGCCTCTCTGAAATACACCACTCGTCCTGGGAGAGCCTCACGGCTCTTGTCGACATTGAGCCTCCTCAATCAGTTTACTATGTCTTGAATGTTCATCTCAATGTGAGTCCACAGAGCAGCTTCAGCTAAGTCTGTCTTGATGGTGTTTGCAATGCTACTTGCATGTTGTGGCGTGCGCGGGCAGAAACCATTGCTGTGGTTGATTCATCTGCAGTCTCAAAAGACATTTGCTGGACTTGGCCGCCTGCCTACCTGAAAGCCTCCGGCCCACGGACCTGCCGCCATTTGCTCATGGCAAAGTCGGCAAACATGGACTCGCGCAAGCTCAGCACGAACGGGGCTGTAGCAACATGAGCGTCCCAGGACAGCATAGCATCATTGCATCAGGCAGCATGCCACGCTCACCATCGCTGGAGCTGCAAACGGACATGGACAGCGTGTCTCAGCGCACTGCTGAGCAAAGTTGAAAACTGAGAAGCCAGACTGAGCCAAGACTTATGCTGAGAGAGGCGTTGTAAGCTAGTCATGGGAGAGGCAGAACCAGGTCGCCGCAGCGTGTTTAGCTTGCACATTGTGGCTCATGTTCAGCCTAGCGTTCGCAAGCCAAGAAGGCTAAGCAAGCGAGATGGCATGTTTCCTTCTGGGGTGAGAAGAGGGATGGACGGCGTAGGTAGGCCTCAATTGGTGGTTTTTGCTTGAAACTACATCGAAATGTGGCCTTTAAACCACCAATTGCAGCAGAAGGAAACTGAAGGGAGCAGTGGATTGAGCCAAAGCGATGCGCCTTGGAGCGCACCAGGTTCCACTGAGTTGCTGCGGCAGCCACTGTTGAAGGAAGCGCTTCCCCCCCTGCTGCAGGAGCCGAAGGGGGAAGGCCACTCGACCGTTCCTGTGCATGTGGGATCCCGGTGGCTAAGCAAGAGTCTCAAAGTCGGAGTTTTCCGACCCATACGTCAGCTCCTGATAGGGGCCGGGGGTGGGCAGGCGGATGTATGGTCAAGAGTTTTCTTGCTTGCCGTGAGCGCTTTTGCGCAACGCGGACTGCAAACAATGCCTCGCAGGTCACAAACGACCGTGTTGCCTTGTTTTGGCACAAACCAATAATGTGCAACATATTTACATATGCAATGCGTGTGGCTGGGAGAATATATGTGTATCGATAGATGGATAGATAGATAAAATAAGACAAGACAAGACAAGATAGGGTAAAATAAGATAAGTTCCCCACCCCCGCATCCACCAGAAACCCGGCCAATCTTCGGCATGGAGAGGCTTGCAAGAAACCGATGGCAGGCGCACGGCGTCAGCAAAAGCACAAGGCCCTGGTGATGGCAGACGGATGTTCATTGCTTTATTTGAAGATTTCGCAGTGCAACAGCGCTCACGAAACGCAAAAACATTTGCACTCGTGGTGTCCGAGGGGGCCGCCACACCCATTGGTAGATGCGACGACTGCAACGAACTGACCGTGAAGTCACAGCCTTGAGCATCAGAATCAGCATCAAATGGCTTCAGAGCCAGGGTTGCCTCATCCCAGGCCAGGCTGTCTGGACCAGTTCACTCGAAGAAGGGACCTGGAACTGACTTAGTGGTGCAAAAATTGCCCGGGCCAGTGCAAATTGGGCTGCGAGAGATCCGTGTTGGAGCAACAACTAGCGGGGATGCACAAGATGCACTAAGGAAAACGACCAACAGGGCCACAAACACACCACCACAAAAAGGCAGGATTGCAAACACGACGACTAGCAGGCCCTCAGGATTGCAATCGTCAAGTTGCTTTTGCCGAAAGAGAGTGTGGGGGACAGGTCCAGTGCAGACAGTGCATTTAACACGCAGGAGCTGCTGGACGATGCCGGGCTTTGCGATGGCAGCATGCCATTCTCCGGGGACACGGCCTTTGTGAACTTCTTGGCGCCTCAGCACGTTTTCAGTGCAAATGTATATCCGATTGTTTTATCGCTGTGATTTTTCATGGGAAGTTCCCTGCAACATGGTTGGTGGACAATGAATCCCAATGAACATGACATTCACCGAAGGCTCCCCAAGTAAAGTTCAGAATATATCGCCCCCGTTGAATCTGGTCCGCTGGTGGGACATGAATGAAGCGCTCTTTCATTGGTGCTTCGTACGCGGAGCGGGATTGCACATCCCTGGTGCACCAGGGGCACACATGCTCCTACAAGGATTGCTCCTTCCTACACACATGCATGTTGTGAAAGGCGTCAAAGATCCTTTGCGCCAACAAGATCAGAGAGCTCACTGGGCTCGTCTCGCGCACAGCCCTGGAAGCACCAGCAGCCTGGCTTGCAGCCACCGTGACTTTTCAGAATTCAATGGATGTGCATCCAGTGTGGCTCGTTGAATTGCTGGTTCACTTTGTTACCTCGATCGCTTGTCGCCATGCAGGGCGTGTTTCCATGTTCTTGGGACGGGTTACGTTCAGTGCAGCCTATGCCGCTGGTGGCTTGCCTCCTCAGCCCCGAGCCTCATGCCATGGCGCAGCTTTCGCTGCCTGCGCCTGCGCCCCAGGCAAGGCGCGTGTCACCACCAAATCCGTCGGCCCGGACGGCTCCGTGGCCGGGCACAGGGCTACGGCGATGGGGGCCTTTGGCTTTTGCTTTAGCGCCAGGGCGATGGCTTCGGCTCGCGCGGAGCCCGCGGATTGCTCGCCGGGCCAAGCGAACTTGGAGCTTGGCCGAGGATATTTGGGCTTGGGCGGTCGGTGCCCCAAACGGAAACTGCACCCTGAGTCGCGCAGACTACCGGAGATATGTGGAAGACGCGCAAGGTCAAATGCGAAGAGCGCTATCGGAAGTGAAGGCAGGCCCCCTGACACTGGACCAGGCGGGCAACGCTGCCTCTTTGTATGGCATTGGCAGGGTGGAGTACCAAAGGAGGCATGGTCGCTTGAACTTGAGCAATTTTTGTGGCATCATGGAGTTCGACGCAGCCGCAGGGGTTATAACCGTGGGCTGCAAAACTGACTTCAAGATCCTCAGCCGGTTCTTGCTCCCCTTGGGTTTCACTGCTCAGATTGTGCCGGAGGTAGACACCGTGACAGTGGGCGGGGCCATTTCGGGTGTTGTCATGGAGTCCAGCAGCTTCCGATATGGCTTCGTGCACAACGGGGTGCTGAACATGGATGTTCTGTTGCCAGACGGAAGTGTGGTGACCTGCAGCCGCGAGCAGCAACCGGAGCTGTTCAAAGCCATGCCGCACTCCTACGGCACGCTGGGCTATGTGCTGAGTGCATCTTTGAAAGTTGTGCCAGCCGAGCAGGAGGTCGTTGTGACGGCCCGGGAGTTTTCGCGAGCTGAGGATGCTGTAGATCACATGTCTGAATCGATGGCGGATCAGTCAGTAGATTTTGTTGAAGGGATTATGTTCAATCAAGAAAGGACGCTCTCCATCTCCGCCTCCATGCGCCCGTCTGCCGAAATAGAAGTCACACATACTGTGGTGCTTCCAGACGATGGGCGTTTTGTGGACATCCTGAGCCAGCTCACACACGGGGAGTCGTGCTTCAGGATGACAACGTTTGACTACCTTTATCGGTGGGACTGCGACATTTTTTGGTCCACCCGTCGCACCGCGACATTGGGAGACCCGGCTGCGCCCCGGCAACCAATATGTTCCGAACAATCCCTGGACTTAATCCAACACCAGCAAGAGTGAACATTTTCAATGGTGCTTGTGTTTGTCTCACCGATGTTATAACTTGCAAGTTGCTGGCATTGAGAATTACATTGTGAAGGTATACGCCGAGTGGCGAAAAATAGGATCTATAAGCTGGTCACTTTTTGGCAATTTTTGGGCAAATCAATATTTGTGGCAAAGAGAGCAAAACACGCTTTACATGTTGGGGAGCCCGTGGCGTTGGTTGTGGTCATTCGCAAGGAAACATGTACCCACCAGCTGCTCACATGGCGTGCAATCCTTAGGCGACATATCCTTTTGCTCTTTCCTTTCTCGACCGCGTACTCACCACAATGATTTGGATGTTGACTCAAAAGCGGGGAGTTCCACATATGGTTGGCCTGATCATTGGAGAATCCCACCCTCCAGAGCCTCTCACCACAACTAGCAAGGCCCCAAATTGTTTAGAACTTTCCCCCCTCCAACCAATTAAACCCTTGGCACCTCGGATGGCCTTGGCGTCTTTTGGGACCCTCGCACCTGCCGCTTCGCGAGCAGCTTTTGAGGTGCGCCGCGGCCTGGGCCGCGGCTTCCTCAGGTCCAAGGTACTTTGGGCGCTGGGCAGCCGAGCGCGGGAGGCCAAGGCGGGCCACTTGCCTTGGACGCTTGAAGGTTCGGTGCCGAGTCCAGGCGTGGAAGGTGGAGGTTCCTGGAGCCGGGGTTTGTCTCAAACTTTCAAGCCAGGCAGACTAGTAGAAGGGGATTTAGTTTGCTATCACAGCAACGGCCGCTCCCATCCGGGCCGATGGTGGTCTCTGTGGTACCAAGGAAGCAGCCGAAAAAGTCACAAAGTAGTCATACACTTGACGGACGAAATCCTGTACCGCCTCCCGATTTGATCTTGCCACTGAACCAAGGAAGCCCTTTCGTGCAAGAAACCATTGTTTTTTTGGCAGGGTAAATGCACTCTGGGTGATTGATACGGGGTGTGCCATTTCGAAGGGAATTCGGATCTTTGAAGGCGAAGGACCCGTAAGTATGTATCCAGCAGGTTTTCGTCCCAAATTGTCACTACTGGAACACTCCCGCCTTTTGTTTATTGACAGCTGAAGCGCAAACTCCTTGTGTGCGCTCAGATGAGGTCGGTTAGGCACCCGTATGAACAGAAAAGCGGTTGGAAGCGCACTAGCCACCCCCACAGTCGATTGTGTGTGTGCCCGAAGGTTCAACATAGGCATGGCCCATGAGACAGCCGCTGTGTTCCCCTGCCATTCCAGCGTGGCCAGGAATGCATGTCGGAGTGGGCCTGGGCGTTGCTCGGGGACACAGGCAGGCACTATTATGCGAGTCCTGAAGCGAGAGCTATCGGCTCCAAACATCACATGGGCTATGTAACTGCAGTCGGCTTCGTAACTTGGCATGGCTTTTGAGCAAGAAGCATGCCGGCATCCAGAGCTGGCAATGTGGCTTCTTCTTCGTTGATGGGTTGGTTGATGATCACCCTCCTCGTCCCCATTGCAGGCCTCTAATAAACCTGGCGACAGGCCGCCGTTCTTTGCCTGCGAAGGTTTGCTCGACTAAAGAGGTCCGGTCCGGAGTAATCAAAAGTTGGTGTTGTTAACATATTATCAAGAATCCGTAAGACTGTTTAAGGTTTCCTCCGGTGAGAAACGGGACATGTAGGACATTGGGCAGGTTCTCGATTTGGCTTCAAGCCGCCCACGGAGCGCATTATCCAGGAGCCTTGCGCCAAGGGGAGCGGAACGGAGTGGTCATGCCTCGGTAGCCTTTTCCGCTGGGTCCCGCCTCGCGCCCTTTCTCCAGATCCTGTTTTATCCCCAGCAGCATCCGGATCCCTCGACCATCCTTGTGGCCAATGTCACCGGGGTCTATGTTTAAAGGTATGTCGCACCGGAAATTCAATGCCTCCTGCTTGACATGATGCCCATTGACGCCCAATTCGATTCAAGCAGTACCTTGCGGCATTTTGGGACGATCCACTCACTCCATAGGACCTGGGTGTGCGCTTGGAGCAAGTGCCAGCCTTTGCCCGGGATTTGGAACAGCACGGTGAGCTACCCTTCTGGATGTGTCCCGTGAAGTGCCAGGGGCCAAGGGTGCGAGTGGGGAAAGCACAGGGTTCTTGGTGGTTGCCAGCCATACCCTTCATACCCTTAGACTTGTTGCCAGTGTTAGTTTATTGGAGGGCACAGGGCACAACCAACGTCTCAGGGTTGAAGGGCTTTTCCTGCAATCGGCCTCGAGTCTTTCAGGCTTTCTGGCCTTCGGCACGGAACAGCGCACGGATCTATTGACATTCAACATGTTGTTTTCTTGGCCCGTGGATGTTCTGGGAGCGTGCCAGATCTCAATGCCTGTGCAAGCTTGCGCAAGGGAAGCGAGGGCCTGCCACACTGGGCGTTGTCTGTTTCTGAGGCGGCGGCTTTGCGGAGGACCAGCCCTTGCCGCGAAGCTACAATTTGATCTCGCAACGCCTACCTGGGCAAAGGCAGTTGGAAGCACATTTAAGGGTGTCTCCGTATGTGGGGACCTTTCAACAGGCGCCTTTTGGATCTCCCTCGAAACAACTTTACACACGGTCACAACCATTTAAGGCTGCACTCAATGTAAAAGGTGTGATTAGCCATGATTCATTTCATCAACAGGGATGTCGCGGTAGTGACTGACCAGTGATGTTTGGCTCAAGTTTGCGGGTCCGTCGCGCCTCGGATGAGCGTCGCCGGGTCCCCGCGTCGATCACCTTCGTGTCGGTGGAGAAAGAGACATCGGCCCGGGGCAGATTGGTGGGGTCCGCCCGTGCGGTTCATCGTCGATCAAGGTTGCGGGTACTTGTTTACTTGTTTTGGTTTTTCTCTTTTGGTTGTTGTTCTCTGGTGTGTGGGAAACCCTGATCTTTGGGACCGGGGATTGGTTTGCTTTTGGGGAACCTTTCTTTTGTGGCTTGTTTACCCCAACTTACCCATTGCCTGGGCACAGGCTCGTGCCCGAATCACAGGTTATCAGCCGTAGGACTTTCCTACGCGCTTGAGACCATCAACTACAAGCTCTATGTCGACCCCACGATCTCGAAGGAGTGTCGTGGATGAGGAGGCCATCCTAGGGGGCCTCCGCTCAGGTGAGGACCTACCGGACTACGACTACGAGGATTTCGAAGCAGGTTCGACAGGTCAGGATCGCAGGGGTGAAGATCCCGGTAGGGACACACCCAGAAGCCGTGGCAGGTACACCGACGATGGAGACGATCGCATTTTCCGTCAGGCCACTGATGATGAGCAGACACGAAGGGTTCGCTCCGATAGGAGCGGCTCTGAATCAGGTCACAGGCGCGGACAGTTCGACTTCATCAGCATGGCGATGAACATGGCCCGCCCTCATTCGGACGACCCGGAGGCTATGCCGACCCGACCCCCGAGATCTCTTGTTCCAGGTGAGTCTCAGGTATTGGATGAGTTTGAGGACAGGCCGCAAGGACCAGGGACTATGGTTTTGGCTCCGAGAGATATCTCGGGTCGATCTACTGGTTCTCAAAATCCAGGTCAGTTTGATGAGCATGAGGAGAGGAAATTCACAGGCTTCGGATACGATGATCTGTTGAAATCAACCGCAGGCTGGGGCAGTAGCGCAAAGCAGGAGTCTG